GTTCTCGTTTGAGAAATAAAAATGTTAGTTTGCTTGAATACTTATCGGAATGTATTTGATTTCAATAATATCATAGCTACGTGATTGATTATTGAATCTAATTTATTCATTTGTGTGTTCATGTAATTAATTATTGAATTATTTTATCCCAAACTTTGTATTATGGTTAAAGTTTTAGGGAAAATAATTTTAATTTGCTTGAATACTTGTCGGAATGTATTGGATTTCATTACCGTCATAGCTAAGTAGTTGATCATTGACAATTTGAAATTAAAAGTTTAATTGAAACATAAGGATCAGACTGTCATACTTGCCCCTATTTAATCTTTTGAAAAAAGTATTACCACGGTTTTGAATTATATTATTGTCAATGAGCAGTTTGAAATATAAAATTGTAAGTTTGCAAAAATACTTGACGGGATTTATTTGATTTCATTAACATCATAGCTAAGTAATGGATAATAATTAACAATATAAGCTTAAAAATTTCAAAATTTTGGTAAAGATTTCAAAGTTAGATAATTAGATGCCCTAACTACAAGAGTCAAATTGTGATACTTGCTTCACTGTATTATTTTTTTGTAAAAAAGAATTAGCTCGAGATTAAAAAGTAATTTGATGAAAAATTAATAAAAAGTGAAAAATGGGAAGATGAGAGTCATGGAAAAAATTTTTTTTGCGTCGACATTGACAAGTTATTAGATTTCAAAAGTATCATAGAGCAATTGTTGATTTAGAAGTAATTGTAATAATCTACAAATTCAAAAGTGGTAAAGTTAGATGTATGAGGGCTCTGCTGTCGTTCTTGTTTCGCTTTATATTCATACACCTTTTTTACACCCAATAGCTAAATATCAGATTAATGGTTTTAAAACTTTTTTTGTACCATACTTAAGTTTGAATTTGACTGTTAGCGCTTTATCATATATACTTCCCTCGTTGTCACCAGCCAGAATAAAATCAATATATATTATTTATTATAAATTGGCTCTCCAGCCGTTACAATAAATCTCAATTTCCAGCGCTAACCCTGAACTTAATATTATTTCTAGTCAATATTTAAAACTTTTCAACGTGTACTAAACTTACGGTTTAACGTACGGATAAACAACGTGTACTAAAATTACGGTTGGCATTCATTTAACGGTAAGATTTTTAAAAATGTTCACGTAATCATCAATAATCAGAAAAGAAAGAAAGTATGCGAATAGTATAGGTAAATAAATCGACTTACTTTCACGGTTTTGTGGCAGATAGTTTGAACGCTGTCAGAGGTCCGTTGAAGTGTCACGACGATTGATTCTCGAATTGACAACACTATTAGTATTTCAGCAATCAACACAATATATTATATCACCTTTTTATCGTTTCTCCTTGCAAAACACAACACGCACCCACAGAGCTGAAAGTAAGGTAGACTATGCACAGGATACGCAAAACAACGCGTCTTGACAAGATCACTTCGACAAGCGAATATCACGATGCACAGCTTCCCGCATGTTTTGACTGTGCAAGTCGTTGCTAAAACCGGTCTGCGCCCGCAATCTCAGCGGACAGCGCGAGAATTCAAGATGGTGGTGGAACTTATTCTGCTACATCAGGGATTCCCTTCGCGAAATCCCTCGATGTGCAGACTGCAGACGCTGATCTCGTGCGACGCGACGTCGGACGTTGAAAGATCTGTTAAATCGTCAATTGTTATTGTTACATATTGTTTCATTAAATCTCTTGCAAGTTTTAACTTTGTTGAAAAATCAGATTATTAATAAATTTATTTAATTATGAGCGATCCCGTAGTTATAAAACTTTTTAAAAAACTACTCGGTAAATATAATGATTTGAACGGTGTACATTTTTTTTATTCTAACCACGATTTAATTTCGTAGATGAAGCAACAAATTCCGATAATCTTGAAGCTGATACGAAGAAAATTAATACTCTCGTTAACATGATTAATGAGAAAATGATTTGGTTTGTAGTTTTTTTTTTCAATTCCACTTTATATCTGTTGTATGCATATTATCAATTTTTTTATTTATTCAATTGTCAGTGGAAAAATCAGTATGGAGGAATTACGCAAGAAAGTCTTAGACAAAAATCCTCATACTGTTTATTATGCTTTATTAATTATGGAAGAAGTAGTACAACATTTGAAGACTGTTCATGATACTAATAAGGTTTCAGATAATATTTTAGATATTTTGAAAAAATTGAGTGTTCACACTAGACATGAAAAAATAATGTCTAAAACAATGTTTTTGATGGAAGAATTGGAAAAATATCAGGTAATAGCAAAATTTTTATCTTTATTTTATTGAAATGTATATGTTGTCAATCGAATGTTAAATTTTTTATTTTCCTAATTAAAGGATTCTCAAAAATTGTTTGACAAAAATGTACATACTCGTGATAAATGTGAATCCGAAATGTCAGATAATGATTTTCAAGGCAATTTGAAAAAAATTCAAATGGATCAAAAAGCCAAATATAAGGCTTACTTAAAATCTTTAGGTAAAGCTACCTCATCCGATGAAGAAGAAGAAAAAGAAGAAGAAGAAAAAGAAATACAAAACAGTTATTTTAAAACGTAAATAATTTTGATTTAAATCAAATAATTACAACTAATTTTTTAATTATGTTGATGTTTTTAATCTGTTCTAGTGATCCAATATTGAAGTTAAATATTTGTCAAAAGGTACTTCAATTTTTTGAACTTATATCAATGAAATTATAATGCATATTAATATCTGGACTAACTTTTATCAATTATTGTATAGGTTGATAATCTTGCTCATGAAATGAAAAAGAAACTACCTAAAGATTTAGAAATTTCTAAAAACCAAAGAAAACAACTTGCTACAAGTGCAAGTAAAATTAGAGCAATAAAACATCAATCGTATGTAGAAGATCATGCAGAAGTATTTTGCAGAAGTATGAGACAATGTGCACAAGAAAATTGTGCAGATTGCAAAAGGTAAAATTTATATGCATTATACTTTTAAAATAATTATAAAAATGAATGTATGTATTTATGCATATATGTATTACAGATATAAAAAGGCTACGGCTCCAGAAGAGCCACTACCAAAACAACTTCCATATGAAATGCGTAAGGTCAAAGAAAGCAAGTTAAGAATCAGAAGTGTTTTCGAAGATATAAAAAAAGAGAAACAAAAAGAATATTATCATAAAGTAAAACCGTTTTAGTACTTAACATTTAATGCTTTGCTATTATTTAATGTGCAACTAGGATTAGTTTATTCAAGTTTATTTATTTTACTTTTGATGATATGTACAATTGATCATAACACTGGGATGCACATAGTACTACTACTACCAATCATGATATACAACAATTTACATATAAATTGGTGATGTGTTATACATATTTATATATTGCATTTTTGATTGAGTCTTCAATGATAGTTTATTGCATGCTTAAGTTTAAGAATAATCATCATAGTTTATAAAATTTTTGTATCTATTCACATATAAATTTAATAATTAATATTATTAAATAAAAATATTCAAGTTCTTAAAGAATCTTGAGTTTTTATATTTTCTTTGTTTATCTTCCCAAATGAATTGGTTTCTTTTACATACAAAAAATTTTCAATTGTTGAAATTTTTATTGAATTACATTGAATTTAATACATTGAATTTAATACATTGAATTTAACTGAAATTCTAGTCAGTGCTCTTATCATTACTTTTACTAACATAATATCCAATCTGGAGAGTAAACGATTTAAGACGATATAAATTAACCGCTCTCATATAACTCTGAAGTCTGAGTGTATCGTGACGCGGTCAAACGTTCTAAACCTGTCATATGGTCCTCGTAGAATTTTTCAATAAATGAATTTTATTATTAAAAGTCACATATACTTATGTCGAAGTTTTAGTCTAGAATAACGAGCTAATGATGAAAATTTTTTGGCTCAAGTTTTTAAATAATAAAATCGCTAAAAAACATAACTATCAGAAGAATTAAAAAAAAATTGTACAAAACAGTTTTCTAATTTTCAAAGAATAGAAATATGAGCAAATTAGTTTGTTGATATTATAGAAACGAAATATTATAGATATTTTCTACATTCAAGTAAAAGTTTGTTAACAAATCAAATCAACCATTGCCAACTTAATGTAGTCATCTTTTATCTACAGTCTGCTACTTTGCTGCTTATCGAGACGACTATCGTTTGAAACATTGCATGTTCTAGAGACTCGTGGGAGAGTGTATAAAAATTTTGCCGGATCGCAAATTATATATTTTGTTGTAACATCAGAAGTAATTGTTGTCACTTGTCACATTTTAGAAAGTCATTTCAGTTATGGCATCCTCCTTCAGGCTGACAAATTTGTCGCGTGCCGTCAAATTGTTTTCATTGACATCGAGAAGGTCTTATTCTTCTAGAATAAACCAATTCGCATACCCAACTTCAAAGGATCTCTTCCCGTCTCAAAGACAAGTATCTCCAATTGGTAAGTTTGACAACATTTTATGTTTGTCATTTCAATTTATTTTATTCAATGAAAAGTAATATATAAATACTTATTTGAAAAGTGGATTCTAGTATTGAATAATCAATTCAATTTGTTTATTAATAGATAAAACATATCATTTTTTTTCTTATTCTGTAGCTGCAGTATGTGTTCCATACAATGGGGTATCTCAAAGATATTATTCAAGTAGCGAAGCCAAACCAGAGAGACAAACTGAAGAAACAATTGTCAGCAATGACGCAGAGAAACCTACTGGTATGTAATATTTTTTAATTTAGCTCATCAAATACAAAAATGTAAAGTTTTAGAGCAAATAGTAATTTTCAAAGATTGAAAGCTGTTAAACAATTGAACGACAATTTCAGGTGAAACTAAGAAGCATGAATTTCAATCCGAAACACGAATGTTATTGAATATTGTTGCCAAATCACTGTACTCAGATAAAGAAGTGAGTTTATAAGAATTGGTTCATAAAGATTAAAAATACCTTATAACTTGAATTAAATTATTACATAATTGTTCAGGTTTTCATCAGAGAGTTGATTTCAAATGCTAGTGATGCTTTAGAAAAATTAAGATACTTAAGGCTTGCTGAAAATTTGGCAGCTGGCGATGGTGGAGATAGAAGCCTTGAAATTCGTATAAGTACCGATAAACAGGCTCGTACTATTACAATTCAAGATACTGGTCTTGGTATGACAAAAGATGAGCTCATATCAAATCTGGGAACAATTGCACGATCAGGATCAAAGGTATGGACATTTTTAGATTAGACACATTCACAATTTAATATTTTGACTAAAACTAATAGATTTATAACCCTGATTTTTTGAAATAGGCTTTTCTTGAATCTTTGGAAGGAAAAGAAGGAGTAGATGAGGCATCTAAAATTATTGGACAGTTTGGTGTTGGTTTTTACAGTGCCTTTATGGTAGCTGACAAAGTAGAAGTCTTTACAAAATCTTACAAAAAAGATTCTGAAGGTCTTTACTGGGTTTCTGATGGGTAAGAAGATAGATTTAATGTTTTTAAATTTATTTGATAAATAATGGTTATACATTCAATGATTACAATTAATTAAAACATATTAGCTCAGGCTCATATGAAATCTCTTCAGCTGAGGGAGTTCAACCAGGAACCAAAATAATTATCCATCTACGTACAGACTGCCGAGAATTCAGCGATGATAAAGTTGTTGATGGTAATACAATTTTAAATTAATTTTTTAATTTTATTTTAAAGCCTGATCATTTTAAATAATAAATTTTTTTTTAAGGCATAATCAAGAAGTACAGTAACTTTGTTAGCAGTCCTATTTTCATCAATGGAGAAAGGGCAAATACCATTGAGGTATTTATATACAATTTCAATCATTCTTAAATTTAAAAATGCAATATTTTGAAATGAGTATTATTTATTAGGCTTTGTGGGCTATGGATCCAAAAGAAGTTAAGCCCGAGCAACATACTGAGTTTTATCGGTTTATAAGCAATAGTTTTGATCAACCTAGATTTACAATGCATTTTTCAACTGATGTTCCCATTAGCATCAAAGCCTTATTATACTTCCCAGAGGGTAAACCAGGCCTCTTTGATTTAACAAGAGATGCTTCAGTGGGAGTTTCTCTTTACAGTCGCAAGGTTCTTATTCAAAACAAGGCCGAAAATATTTTACCCAAATATTTAAGGTTCATGAAAGGTGTTGTAGACTCAGAAGATATTCCTTTGAATTTGAGCAGAGAACTGTTGCAAAATAGTGCCCTGATCACGTAAGTGTTAGACATTAATGACTTAATAGTTTAATTGATAGTTATAAAACTTCAAATATTTTTATTTTAGAAAATTGAGAAATGTTTTAACTGCTAAGATCATTCGCTTTTTGCAAGACCAAGCTAAAAAACATCCAGAAGAATACCTTGAATTCTACAAAGACTATAACACTTTCTTCAAAGAAGGACTTGTCACTGCCACAGATGATTCCTCAAAGGTAATATATCTTAATTGGTAAAAAAATATCAATAAAAAATCAAATTTTTTTATTAATTATTGAATTACTTTGCAGGAAGAGATCGCCAAACTGTTGCGATTCGAATCATCTACCAAAAATGCAGGCGAACCCACCAGTATTCTTGAATATGTTGATAGACTTGCTAAAGATCAGAAATATATTTATTATTTAGCTGCACCCAGGTAAATTTATATTTTAACTGATTTTTATCAATTTAACGATTGAAAACATTGAAATTTGAAACAAATTTTCTAGTCGTCAATTGGCTGAACAATCGCCTTACTACGAATCGTTCAAAAAACGAAACTTGGAAGTTCTGTTCTGCTACGAGCCATACGACGAATTAGTTCTTATGCACTTGAGGAGATTCAAGTCTTTCGATGTCATATCGGTTGAGAAAGAAATGCACGAGAACGTCGACGAGAAGGATCAACCTAAAATTGTGAACGAGGCCGAAATCAACGATCTCATTTCTTTCCTCAAGCTCACCTTGAAAAACAAGGCTTACGATGTTAAAGTCACGAATCGTCTTGAAAACCATCCATGCGTGGTGACTGTACAGGACATGGCTGCAGCCAGACACTTTATTCGCACGAAGAGTCATCAATTCAACGAAGATATGCGCTATAGTCTGTTACACCCACGATTGGAAATCAATCCGAATCATCCATTGATCAAGAAAATTGGTCAGCTGAGAAGTACTGATCCTAAAATTGCTGAAATGTTGACGGAACAGGTAAAATTGATTTTTATAATCTATAAAACAAAGAGGAATAAATCCGATAATTAACTTTACAATAATTTTTAGCTATTCATGAGTTCTATGGTCGCAGCTGATCTCGTTGAAGATTCAAAAGGCCTCTTACTAAATATGAATCAATTGTTGACGGCAATCTTGGAGAAAGTGAAATAAAATGTTACTTTCTGTTATACCAGAGCGGGCTAAACCGTAGAAACTCGGTAAACTACCTTGCCGATATCCGGTTACTTCGACGTTATCGTTACATGTGTCATGTGATTTATGAATGACTGAACAAATATTAATCTTGATAAGATCAGACTGGATCTTGCTGTTGTTGCTTTTGTACATAAATGTATGACTTGTCATTTTTTAAATAAATGTTAATTATTGTAAAGAATCACTCTAATTCATTTAGACAGACTTTGTCAACGCTTAAAGTGAAAACTTCTAAGGAGCTCGTGCGTAGAATCACCATCAAAGCATCTAATACTCATCTAAGTTCCATGACAATTTAATTACAGTCTCTTCTCCTTCGAAAAAAGTTTACGCAAAGAGAGTATCGAGTGACTTTCTTGATGACAGGAGACGCACAAGACAATAAAGTCAAGAAGACATGCGCGTGTCGAGCATTGATATTTAAGCGAGTCAAGGAGTTCTCGCGAGTTTATATTATTAAATTGGCTACTCGAGAAGCCCCGCAACAACGACACAGCAGCAGAGTGTTATAAATAAAAAACAAAGTGAGACGCGCGCAAAAAAAAAGAAAAAAAATCCTCGGACGAGAGCTCGAAGTTGTTTTTTCTCACGATAAGTATATAAGAGAATTAAGCTCGTATAACGTCTTTTATCACGGATGCCGCCTCGGGGGGTGCAGGATATATATTCACATGAGTCGAGAGAGAGCGAGAGAGAGAGAGAGAGAGAGAGAAGAAGGGAGAAAAAGACTGACTGGCGGCAAAGATTAACGCTCCTCTCCTCGAGCTTTATATACCTGCGAAATGGAGCCGCCAAGCGCGCGATAAGAAGCCGAGTAAGCAAAAGCTCCTCTCCCATCTGGACTCATCGCTGAGCTATATATAGCCGTCGTCTCTTATATAATACTTATACACAGATACTCCTCCGCTGCTTGAACCATTTGGATTTTGCACCGAGGCTAAAAAGTCCAACGCTAAGCGAAAGCAGAAGCGGCAGCTTGTTCTGACACGCGGCAGTTATCGCAAGCTCGGCGCCCAGTGCAGCAATGATGAACGGACCTGTCCGTGCCACCGGACTCTCTTCTCTGCTGCTGCTGCTGCAGCATCAGCCCTCGCGTAGGCAGAGCGACGACGAGTGTTACTCCCCCCGTTTTGTATACATTATCATATAAAGTTGATATTGTGCATATAAATTTTCAGCTGTAAATTAAGGTCGAGCGTATTTGAAAGCTCGTTACAAGCATTAAGCCAACGTTTTTACAATTTTTGATACTAAAATACATTCCTAAATGGAAACAGAGATTGTCACGCAAGTATAATATCGAAAGAATGGCCTAAAATCGGCCGCAGACCTAGACCTAGATCATTCGCGAGGAGTTTTTCAGACTGGAACACACGAAGTGTGCATTGCGAAAAATTATAATCTCTTTTTATTTCTCTCACATACTGTATTAACGACTCCAGCTCACTGCTGCTGCCGCTGTAAAGTCTTTTCATCCGTGTCGCCTATGGTACAGAAATTCTATCACGGATCGTCACGCGTTACATGTGTCAATATAGAATGGAGAAAGAAAAAAAAGGGAACGAAATCCACAAAAAAAAAGGATATAAAATAAAAGGGAAGCCGATATTACGAGGACGTGTAAAATAAAAGGAGTCGACGAGACCTCAATAATTCATGTGCACTGCATCGTATGATATCGATATCGATGTTATAATCTAGAAAGTTCAAGATACAGTCAAAAACTTAGTCGAGTCATCGTTGATTCAATTTCCTTACGACAGACAAATAGCCCAATAATGTTTTTCAATATGACGGACAATTGTATTATACACGTAATAAGCAAAAGGATATGCCATAACGATCGGTCAATATGCGTCGCGAGTCGATGTAGCGCGTAAATCCAAACACAGATTCGGTAGTACACTGCAGGTGCAGCAGCACACGTTACAATTGTTACACGTCGAATTGTCACGCGTGACAATTTCACGCACGTTTGCCGAAATGTGCCGAAATTTTCGTAAATACACTGATACACAATTAAATGTATTGTGCAAATATATCGTTAATCGGAACAGGGGATATTTTAGACGAATAATACGTGTGGCTTTGCGCAAGTGTTATACATTCGATCTGGAGCGAGAACAACTGCTGCTGCTGCACACGCCCCTGTCGAAACAAATCGTGGCAATAATCGAGAGTGTGCGGGTGTGGGACACGGTGGAAAATTTGAAAAGTATAGCAGTAGGCCAGTTTCGAATCGAATGGGATCGTATTGGCTAATATATATAATATAAAAGTCGATCGAAACGCTCAGCCATACGTCAAACGCAATTTTCAAGCCCGAGCGTGAACTGCGATCATTTATAGAGAATATAGCGCGATCGTGCCAAAAGTGCATATGATATCCAATAGTGCCTAGTTTTTATTTATTTTTCCAAGTGTCGATAATTAAAAACATTTTTTGGAATCTCTCGTCTCGACGTCATCATGGCGAGTCGACTGGCGACGATGTCGTTGGTGTCGTCGTTGCTGCTGCTACTCGTGATAGCGGCAGCCTCCGCGAGACCCTACAAAGTAACCGAGGACGGTGAACCCACGCGAATCGGACTGTTTTCCACGGGAATCGCTGAAGCGCTTAGACGAGACAACGGCCAGAAATCGAAACGCGACGACGCCAAACATCGTCACCATCAGAAAAATACGTCGGGCAAGTCGCACGAGGGCGGCCACTACACGAGCTTCGGCAGCGACGCCGACGGCGAGAAGGGCTACAAGAAGACGACCTACGGCGACGGCGAGAACGGCTACAAGAACTACGACACCTTCCACAAGGAGAAGGCGAACAAGTACGGCTTCGAGGACGAGGAGGTCTACGGTCAGCAGTCGGCCGGATCGAAGAAAGCGCACAAGGGCCAGAAAGCGCATCGTCACTCCAAGCACAAGAAGCACAGTGACCACGACGGAGCTGGTACATGTCGTTGACCTCTCATTTTCTCGTCTTTAATTCGCCATTATATAAGCGAGTAACGTTGTTGTTTTTTTTAAATTTATAGCCACTAGCATGGAAGCCTCGTATCTCGACGGCGAAGACGGCGGCAGCTACTACGAAGGCGGTGGCGACGGCGGCGGTGGCAGCGGCGAATACTACTCCGAGGGCAGCGAATATTCCTCCGGCGAAAGTGGCGGTAGCGGCGGAGACGAGGGAGGAAATTATTCCGGTGAAGGCGGCAGCGGCGAATCCTACGCGTCGTCCGGCGAAGGCGGCGACGATTACTATTAAGCTGAACTGATATTTTGTTACGTATAATTATATTAATTGCCACTAAGAATTGCGTTACCTGTGTATGTTCTATATAAGTCTATTAAGAAACTTTTTTTATAAAAAAAAAAACAAACACAAAAAACAAGATTAAAACAAATCCAAACTCGTGTTTACTAATTTCTTCGTATGCACTACTAAATCAAACGTATAGTATACATATCGTGCGGACTGCGACGAAAATTGCATTTATATACCCACACACTTATATACGAGTGGATAGATGCGGGGCTCGACGTTGACGCATGGCTATAATGCACGAAAAAGAAATCCATCCTTAGCGCAGCAGATATGCGCTTGCACCGCAGGCTCGACTCGCAACCGTGTGCACGCGACCCACTGCACGCGTCTGGGGTTGGGGGGGGTGGATGAAATTTGTCGGCGATTGTCGCTGCTGCTGTACGTATATAAGCTAGCACGACGACGACGACATATATGTCGCGTGTTTTAAACGATGTCAGTCACGCGACACGAAAATATTAATCTCGTGTGAGCCCAAGTGTGTGTACTACTATATGCCGGGTCATCCCCCTCCTTACCGCGCGGTTATCTTCTTCCTCTTCGTTTTTTTTTTGCTTCTTACCTCGTGAAGCGCATAGCTCGACTTTCGCAGTGCACTTATAAAATATGTCGCAGCATTTATATAAGCCAAAGCTTGGCTACGACGACGACGACGACGACAATCGAAATACTCGCGAAAATCGCATTTGCTCGAATAGATTCTCTCTCTCCTCTTTTTTTTTCGAGCTCCGCGCATATAATCGACCGTTTGAATAATATAATATTAATACGCGGACAAAGTGCGCGCGAGGGGCAAAAAAAAGGGACAGAATGGGGAAAGCTCCGTGCCAAGACGAGGTACGAAACGATCGTTCTCGACTATGAATTCGAATATCGTACGGATATTAAAAGTAAATTTTAAGCTAATTTTTTAAAAGTGTTTGATCGGATATATGTGCCGAGGAATATTGAATATATTCTTCTTCGCAAGAAAGGGGGATACGATTTTTTTCTCTCTCTCTCTTTCTCTCAAAGGATTAACGATATATACCAAGAAGTATGAGAGATCGAGAACGAGGTATGTCTGTTATAAAATACTCTCGAGCTAGCTAGCGGCTGGGGCTTGGAATAAAATCTACTACTTGGAATTCCAGAGCACAGTAGTAGCTACGGAGTTCTCTCTGCATGCGCAAAGCTAGTGTATTAAAGGTAACTACGGCGGCGACGGCGCGCGTGTGAAATTAGACTCACGGCCAAAGCTTGCGCTGGATCTGTTCTGCCGTGGGTGGGAGTGAGAGAGTTAGCAGCTTCTCTTGGAAATTCTCGCAAATGCAGAGATTGCTTTGTAAGCAGATATCTCTCCCGGAAGCGCGTATACTAGTACTCGACGACCATCCTCCCGATGCTTCGGGATTTTCGTTAGCAGCAGCAGCAGAGCCTCTCGTTGCGATCCTTCCCTTGATTGACTCTCGGGGCAAAGCAGAAGAGAGAGAGAGAGAGCCACCTCGACGACGTGACCGAGAGTAAATTTCACTGAGTGAATTATAATGTATGTACAGTTCCGTTGCGCGAGCGAGCGAAATGAAAGATTCATCGACGGAGGGAGAGAAAGAGATGCATAGAACTTTATAATATGCGTCGTCGCTTGAGAATAAATGCTTGGCGATTACGTAAACATTGGAGATATAAATAAACTCAAAACTAACAATGAATGTATTATTTGGCTATGAAAAAAAAAAAATATGAAATGAATAATTGGTTGTGAATAAGAATAATAAGCGGCGATGGGTGCAGAGAATTTCTCTGATTAGAGGCTGAAAAAACTGCAGCGCCTCGAAATGACCCACCCTGCACCGTACCGATACATCTCCACACCGTGCATATTATAACGTCGTTATTGTATATATAGCTCCAAGGGGTGGCTGCCGCCACGTTAGCAGCCATAGTGTCTGTGCAGCAGCAGCAGCAGCAGCAGTCTGCGGATCTATGTATACGTGACTGGACTGCAGCGCGCATATTCGCGCGTCCGGGGGCGAAAATCCTATTAAACGAGAAAAGCCGTGAAAAATCTGTCGCCCATGGCTAGGCGGCGTCGTATATATACAGCGATGCAGACTCTCGGCGCGTCCGTCCGTACCCTTTTCATTACTCTTCTATACATAATTTTCGTACCCGCACACACAAAAACACATTGCCTCCATGAACAAAGAGGGCTCGAAAGAGAGATGGATATGTGTCATTTCTATATCGATACGAGATCGCTAATCTCGATTGTACCGGTGCGCACACGTATCATTATCTTGTCGAGTGCATTATAAACTGTCATCGACAGACATTAATCGTCGGACGTTAACGCACATGTTATAGAGTACGAGCCATTTTCAAAAAACCGTTTATACTCGTCCGCACGCGTATATAATAACGTGTATTCTACAAAACGATCGATCGATTTTTCGCTTATAACATACACTAGCTCCGAGCATTGCGAATCGAGCTCACTCATATATCGGTATAGCGTCAATTTATGATCGGTATTATGTCATAACGATATATTGGTGCGCAAGCGCGTGCGGACGAAATGAACGCGTTATACATACGCAGCGAGTGAATCGCTGCTCGCGAGCTACGTATATGTATCGATTAATAGACGAAAGCACGCGACGGCATGCGCGATTCTCGCCGCGCTGCCTAGTATCGACGTGTGCACAATATATATAATATATACATACGATCGATGGGTCAACCTGACATGTGTACGAGCACGTGTATTACCGTGAATTCCGCGCTGACCGCGATTTCGAGTGTCTCTCTTTCTGCAAAACATCGCGGCAACGATCGCAATCGCTCCCGATACGTATCGTGTCGAGCCGCGCGTCGCGAGGCAATCGATTGTGAGAGACGCCCACGACAGATGTATAATGCAGGCACGCTCGCATTTGCCAAGGTATACTGCTGTACTTATGACATTAGGAACGAACGTGCGCGAGTGCAAAATATAAAAGTGCAACGCTCGTGTATGAATATTCTAGTGTCAATAATTAAGTGCAGCAGCTCATGCTGCTCCTGCGCACGTCGAGTCGATCGGGATTGGCGCGTCGAGTGCCCACTTGAGAATGATCGAGCTACGATGACTCCGCAACCCTCGCACGCTTGTATCATTAATTGCCCTCGCATAGCATATAGAAAAGTTCACCCCGTAGCTCGAGACGTATGCGCCACTCTCGCCCTCCTATATATAACTCAGCTCTCAAAAACTTGAACCGATCCCGACGAGTATGTCAATATTGTACGTTGACGGTCGATCCCCTCGCAATATAAGTCGGGAATACCCAAGAGTATCGAGACTCGATTGCGAGTAATAGTGCATATTTCGAGTGCGAAAGTGTTCCGCGACACTTGTCCAAGAGAGCTACAGCTGTTATCTAATATATAGGATTACGAGCCCGCATGACAGTCTATTATAGCTCGCGCTTCAAGCCTCGGGAACGGTGCACGCTTGGCTTCATATCACTTTCTCCCGTCGTCGTCATCGTCGTCGTCGTCGTCGTCGTTGTCAGCGAGAGTAGTAAGACGTGCAGCTGCTGCTGCTGCTGTCGTGGGCAAAAAAGTGTACCAATAAACACTGCTCCAAGTCAATACACATAAAAGTAGAGATGGATCTTTCTCGATCGATCTTGCGGTAGACCAAGTTCATCGCCCCTTCCTCCGTATCGTATCTCTATTTATAAGAGCTCGGTCTTGAGGCCCCGAGCCAAGAGTCGTCGATGAACCACAAACAGCGATGCCTGCCACGGCTGCGGAGCGTTTCCGGCTTCCTCGGACGACGACGACGACGACGACGAGCATGACGTCGACCACGATGCGCCTCTTGCTCGTGTCTTCGCTCGTGCTGCTCATCTGTCTGTTTTGCTTTCCGGATCGGAGCACGGCTCGAGAGATAACCTCCGCGGCTGCGCCTGCCTCGATACCACCAAGAATCGTGCGCCAGGTCGCACCCGTCGTTTTCGTCGCAGCGCCTTCGATACCGGCAGCCGTCGTCAAACCTCCCGATCAAGAATCCGCCGGCACCCAACATCATCACCACAAGGACAGTCACGGCGAGGAACACGGCGGCAAAGAGCACCACCACCATCACCACGAGGAGCACGGAGAAAAGGGCGACAAGGGCCACAAGAGCCACCATCATCACGATAAGGGCGAACACGGAGAGCACGACAAGGCCCATCACGCGGGTCACCACGAGGAACACGGTGGACACCATAAAAAACATCACGACGAAGAGGGAGAGCACGGAGAGCATCACGAAGAGAAGAAGGGACACAAGGGAGGAAAGTTCGGCGAAAAGAAGGGCCATAAGAAGGGCCACAAGACCAGTGGCTACCATCACAAGATGCACAAGGACGAGTACCACAAGGAGCACAAGTTCTACGACGATTATCACAAAGGCGGACACCACGAAAAACACGGCCATCATCACGGACATCATGGTCAGCACGAGGGTCATCATAAGAAGGGCAGCAAGCACCACAAGGGCCATCACGACGAGCACAAGGGCAAGAAGGGACATGCCAGTAAGGGACATCACGATGAGGATCATAAAGGCCATCACGGCAAGAAGGGCCACGAGGAGCATCATCATCATCACGAGAAGCACCACAAGAAGGGCGGACAGCATCATGGCAAAAAGCACCACTACAAAAAGGGATGAATGTTCTGAATGTTATAACGTAGATGTTAATTATTGCATGTCTGTAAGTGTGTGTTATGTATCGACTCTCGTTGTTATATTTGTATTTTATTGTAATAAAGGACTTCATTCACTCGAAATTTTCCTAATAAGATTCATAATTTTTTCACCTTTTATAAAGCAAATTTTAGAGTTTTACTATAAAACGAATACAACGAACGGAAATTCCATACAATTATGAAACGGAAACTATGCGCTCGTTCAAAGCACAAAATATGAGGCAAACGCCATTATAATTGTATCAAATCAAAGACTTAACTTCAGACTGCTATAGCCACTGTATATAATGCATGAAAACTGTTCATAAACTATTTATTCAGGCACGCGCATAAAACAATATCAATTAAACTGGACTCTCACGCGTGAGTATAATGAGGAACTGCAGTTAGAATTGGGGGAGAGCTGCTGCACTGATTAATGCCAATTTCCGTATCGCAGTGACGAGGATATTATTATTTAAAATCGATTATTTACCAGCGATAATCGATTCAACAACAACAACTCGTATTATTATCGACGTAATACGATGAAAACAAAACGTTTTACGGCTGTTAGTGTATACTGTAATCGATGACGCAGCAGAAAATGATAAAAATTGCGTATATATATAAATCTCGCGCATTTCACCGAGTTTGATGAAAAACACGAGCTACAGCAGCTAGCAACAACAACAAAAAAAGGAGGAAAAAAAAAACAGGCGAGTAATTTGCCAACATGTAAAACCGAAAAATTTATCACTCGGTTATACACACGCGCGTATAGGCGAAAGGGGGGAAGATAACACAGAGCGGAACGTCCGTTGCAGCAGCGCAAAAAAATGTCTCCTCTAGTTCCTGTTCCTGCATCCATCACGCTTTAAAAAATTTTCGCTTCCCAACGCGCGCGGGTGCGAGTAAAACTCTCCCTCCTTTCCGCGACTCACTGCTGTCTTCTTCATTCGTGAATCCGCGAACAATGCCCGAATTTTCGATGTTCTCTCTCTCTCTCTCTCTCTCTCTCTCTATCTATCTCCTCTTTTCCTCTTTCACTGGTATATGGCTCGTTTACGCGCGCTTGTGGCTGTATATAATGTTATCGTGTGGAAAAGCACGCCGTACAGCGTTGCAAGCGCGAGATATGCATGTATAGCAGTGAAATGACACGGGACAAGTAGCGCGAGTCAACCGCGTGTCACAACGCAGCATGTAGCGTATAAGAGATACATGACCAATCTACGATCGCTCGAATGCTAAGCGCGCAAAAACAATAACGAAAAAGAGAAGGAAAAAACGAATCTAACTCGTGGTAATCGCTGCCTCGCATGTGCGGCTGCGGCGTCTGTGGTGTATATGTTGTAAAAATAATTCACGATCAAATGAGCGCGAGCTCGAGTTCGCTGCGCGCCCGATTAGCTACGATTGTCGCGCTCGGTGTCGAAAAGTAAAAAAAAATCCATAGGATAGCTGGCTGTGCTATGCTTAAAAGCGCATGACGACGACGACGACGGGTGAAATCGCACGTATTCGGGCGCGAAGTTTGAGCAAGTCGATTCAAGCATCGTATGGCTTAGATAGCATGGCCAAATCACCGTAGCTACTGGTGTATATACGGAATCGGAATTGCATAAGCTACCGAGCGATATACACAACACACGATTCAGCGTAAATCGCTGGAGCAGCGCAGCTCACGTACATAGAGTTAGATAGTAGAGAGAGAGAGAGAGAGAGAGAGAGAGGTCTGACACTCGACTGTCACGGCTATATACAGCCGACTAATGCTTTTCATTAAAGCAGGTTAAGGAGACACACTCTGGCCGTGTTTCGTAATGGGCAGCGATCGTCGTCCTCGACGTCCACGTAGTCGTGGTCCCGCCGAAGTCTATAATACGGGGAGAAGTTGCGAGAAAATACATCATGCGTCCGAGGCGTTCCGGCGTGCCGCTTCCTCGGCTCGTTGCTCACCGAGCCTCTATATCTATATATGTTAATAAAATGTACAGTAGACACTGACCAGAGCGGACTAACGAACGCGCGCGCGGATAGTAGGAGGAAATCGTTTCACCTCGGCTTTGGAATACCCATATATATATCGGATCGATCGTTGTCAGCGGAGCACAGAAACCGCTCGACGCTCGTCGCATGCGATCCAATTATCACGGACACAGTTTGTGACTCTCCTCTCAAGGAAATGAGGCTCCGAACGAGCTTGTTGCTCTTGGGTCTGGGTCTGCTCCTGGGCCTGGTGAACTCTCGAGGTCTGTCGACCTTCTCCGGCCCGGCAGCGATACACGATCTAGAACCCGCGGCTTCTCACCACCACAAGGGCCACCACCACGAGGAGGGCGGCAGCGGCGAGTCCCACGAGGACCATCACCACGAGCACGGCGACAAGGGCCACAAGGGCTACAAGAACCATCACGAGCACCACAAGGGCGAGAAGGGCCACCACGACAAGGAGGGCCACCATCACCACTACGACGAGGAGGACGGCCACAAGAAGCATCATCATCACGACGATGGCTACCACAAGGAGCACCACAAGGGTGAGAAAGGCGAGAAGGGCCACAAGTTCCACGAGAAGGGACACTTCGGCAAAGGCCACAGCACCAAGGGCCATCACGAGGTGCACAAACTAGACGAGTTCAAGAAGGACAAGGACTTTTACGACGAGCATCACGATCACGGACATCACGAGGATCACGGCGGACACCATCACGAGCATCATCACAAGAAGGGCGGACACCACAAGAAGGGCCACCATCACAAGGGCCACCACGAGGGCCATCACGGCAAGAAGGGCCACCACGAGAAGGGACACCATCATCACGATCACAAGGGTCATAAAAAGGAGGGAGGACATCACGACCATCATCATCATCATCACAGCTACGGCAAGAAGGGCGGCCACGACGACCACAAGCACTGGCATCACAAAAAGGGACATTGATCCCTGCATCGCTCAGCAGGAAATACAATTTTTGATATTATTTTTATTATTACATTGTAATAGCCTCGACAGTTTTGACTTGGACGATCTCGTTGCTATACATACCATACAGCTGTAGTGCACCGCACGAGTCACACACTACGTTTTTATTTGTTTTTACCTTTTTATAAATAATTAATTAATAATGTTTAATTAATTGTCATGATTTAAAACCGTGTGTAATTGCCACTAAGGATTTGTATAAGTCTGTGTACTTCCTCTTATTGTAATAAGTATACCGCAAGCAAGTTTTGTATGAATTAGCCAGAGAGAGACAATAATATGCTCTGCTCAACGCTGTGTCTTCTTAATGGATATAATAAAGACTTTTTATCACGAAGCCGAGAAATGCCTGTGCCTGCCCTGTCACTTTCAACCCATCGGCAATAAATCTGCTACACACATACACTGCACGCAAATGATAATAATAATAATATAATCGTCGCGCAGCTATAACGGGATAAGAAATAGCTCTGCGCATAATTTACATGCATATACGTAGTGTATATATATAAGTATAAGATTTGTAGTCGTCGTCTAGGAGGGTAGGGGGAGAAAGACTTTGCGTAAGATCGTTAAAGGAAAATTGTGTGTGTGTAGCCTCACTCCCTTACTCGGAGTAAAACTGCATTATAACGATGTTGCTAGTATATATGCTACGACGAGCGACGAAAACTCCATGATCCGCAGCGGGCCAACTTAAATAAGAATAAAAAAAAAAAAAAAAAAACAAAAATGAAAAAAAGTTACTTTATCGTCGTCGTCGTCGTCATCGTACGTATGTATTATATACTATACGCTTGCGGTGTATAGTACGCGTGTGAGATGTTGCAGTTGCATCCCCTCGTCTATATACATGTAGTTTCCTCCGCACGACGCTAAGGCAAGAAATTACTATCCGTGCAAGCACTTCTATCTCTTTCTCTCTCTCTGTCTCTTATCCGCGTATGTACTTTGGCAGTTGTCTATACACACAGAATAGAAGGGATTCTATTGTGTCGCTGTGTATACTTTCTCGCGCGCGACAGAACAAAAGTTTCGATTATGGCGCGAGTAGTGCGAGAGCTTTCTTAACGCGCAGCGCGTCACGCTCTTTTTCTTTTCGATTATTATTATTATATATATCGTGTCGAAAATTTTTCGATTCTTTTCCTGCTGCTTCCTGCTGTTGTCTGCGGCCGCTGAGTTAATACACACGTACCGTTTTTTTTTTTTTTTNCTCGTCTATGTAATTTTTTTTTTTTTTTTTTTTTTTGACGAAATTTTTATCCGCTCGTTTTTCGCGCTCGTAGATAGAGAGCGTTGCATAAATGCAACAAACGCGAGTCGCGCTGCTCTCCCTCTCTCTCTCTTCCCGCAATGTATATATAGTATAAAAGAGATAAAATGGAAGAGAATGGAAAATAAAAGCGCTCGTGCGAGTGGGTGGGAGGGAGGAGGGAAAAAAAGCAGTAGCAAACACCAAGTCTAGCGGTCTTGATGTGTGAGTGTTGTATGTACGTGTATAAGAAAATACCAGGGTGTGTGTGTGTGTGAACAAGAGTGGAAAAAGACAGAGACTCTCTATTCTCTCTCTCGCTTTCTGGGTGTTGGTGATATCCAATATATACACAGATACATAAGCGCGAACTGTGTAGAGCTGTCCGTGTAGTCTCTCTCTCGCAGTCGTTGAAATGTAACTCCTCTTTCCCATGCCCTTCTTACTGCTACTATATATAGAGGAGGAGATACCGAGTGGTGTTTCCCTGTATAGATGTCTCGGGCAGGTGCAGTGGACAGCACTAACCGTCGAAAGAATTGAATTTTGTCGCCTTACGCTCTTTTATGTGTCGCTGTCCCGATATACGGATATATAGGTATACATAGTACTGTACTCCACAGCGAGCGCGGGATATTTCGTCGTCGTGTCTCGCCTGCCGTTCAGCCACACACGTACCGAAGAGAGGCACATGGTACTGCTGGCCGCTGACCATTTCGCCGACCTCTCTACATTTTTCTTATTGCATTGTTTATTTTTTTTCTCATCCAGTAACTCTCTTCTTTTTCGTTTCTTCTTCCTCTTCTTCTTTTGCTCGGCAGCTTTTCTCCTTTCTCTCTTCTCGCGAGCTTTCTTGCTTGGAATGCAAATGACGAGCTCTCTCGCTCGCACATATTCGAAAGCTGGAAATTGGTTTTTCATCGTGGCTTATATATCGAATTGAAACTTTTTTTTTCTCTCTCTTATAAAGGAGTTAAAAAATAATCGACGTTTCATGATGGTTGCAGTAGTAGCAGTATTATTTTTTTATTGTTATTTCTACACTCTAGGCTAACTCGTGCGCGCTTGATCGAAGCGTGATATATTGCCATGCAAGACTTGAAATTTGATCGAGAGCGCGCGGAGAGCAGCAGAGTAGTTATATAGTTATAGTAGTATGTACAGTATAATTTTATTATTACAGATCAACGGTACAAAAATGGAAAACACTTACAGAAGACGCGGTATAGTGGGAATTTTTAAAAACTCGTTATCACAGTTCGATACATGAAAATAAATGGCGATGCGGCCCAGTGGCATCGTTGATTGGCTTTCGACTAGATCGGGAGTTAAAAAAAATAGTACAAACGAAATACTTCTCTTCCTCAATATAACGGTTAATTTCTTATTACACACAGGGCAGAAGTAGCAGCGGTCGTGTTCAACAGTAGCGAAGATATTACGAAATTCCGTTTGCCTGGGGGCACAGGCATGTGTGTAAGTCTGTGTGTGTGAGAAGAGAGAGAGGCGGCGAGGGAGCAAGAACGAAATAAAGCTATTTTAATGCGGCTCTTCGCTCTTACACGAGGTATTGCCTCCACCACCGCCGCCGCCGCCCCCGTTCCGAATGAAACACGAAAGCTCATCCTTCGGAACACAGACAGACACACACATACAAGAGTTACGAAATGGACAGACGTCGACTCTACGTCGTCGTCGTCGTCGTAGGATATAAGCCGAGACTATATACGTATAGTCTTGCACACGCGCACACACACACACACACACACACACATATATGTACAAGAGCTTGAGCTTGCGCGGGTGTACTGGCATAGCTACTATATACCACCGCCGCCGTCAAGAGTTTGCAGTACGTTCCGCAAACATGCCTTGCGATTGCGGCACAGAAGCGACGCAGAGATTGAAGTAAACTGCCGAGCCAGAGATGCTGCTGCTGCTGCTGTGAGCTTGCGAGCTTACACACGCATGTACGTTTGTATGTATATATATTTATACATTTGGATGTGTGTGTGCGTGTGTAGCAGACACTGCCTCTGCTGCTGCTCCCTGAACTTTAATTACTCTGTCCTCGAGCTCGCGCGCGGCGTAGTACGGCGTTCTCGCTCCAAGCAGCAGCAGCTTAGAGCAAATAACGTCAGAGACTCTTCTTCTTCTTCCTCCTGTAGTGCGTAGGTGTGTGTGTGTGTCTGTCTATGTATGCGTTTAGACGTAATACACACACAAAAGTATGGGAAACCCTTTTCCTTCCTAGCGAGCTTTCTCTCGCTCTCTCACAGTGTGCGTATGTACATGGTGTTGCTGCTATACTGTGTGTGTTGGTATCCTCTCTCTCACTCACTCTCGGTTCCTGCGAAATAGATCAAAGTCGGTTACCGCTGGCGTTATATTGCTTCGCAACTACCGCTGCCTTTCGGTCGCTTTAAAGCGACCGAGAGATACCGCGAGCTTTTATGTTTTATGTACACGTGTATTATTTCCTTACCCTCTCTCATTCTCTCTCTAGGCACACTTGGTCAAAGTCGTTGTCGTCGTCTCCGCTGCTTTCTTTTTGCACTTCAGTACGGGCGGGTAGTAGTCCTCGCAGTTGTCCAGCCGATCCGTGTAGATCTTGATTTCGGTGTGCGGCTCCTTGATGTGATTGAAGATGAATCGGCCGTCCTCGAAGAAGCGTCTGTAGGGATAGCTGTAGATCTCCTGCCACTTGAAGCCGTCGGCGATTTTCGCCGTGTAGATGCTCGAGGCGTCGATGCGGAAGCAGCGGTGGGCCATGTCTCGAGCGAGGACCCAGCTCTCCTGGATGAGGCGGCGGGCCAGGCCGTGACCCTGGTGCTCGGGGTGCACGGCGACGTTGGCGCACTCGAAGACTTTCTGGGTGTTGTGACGGCTCCAGGGATCGGCTTGACGGGACAAGAAGCAGAAGAAGCGGACGAGATCGCGACCCGGCCCTCTGTCGTACTGATCGGCCAGATGCTCTTGCTCGGCGACGTCGTTTCTCGTTGTTTCGATATTGACCGCCGCACCTACGATGCAATTTGTGTCGCGATCCAGAGCGATGATGGTCAGGCCGTTGTGCACCCCCTCGAACATCTGATGGAAGAGGAGCGGGTCGGGTCTGTCTTGCTGGGCCAGGCCGATGTTGACCATCGAGGGCTCGGACTTGAAGAAGGTGTCCGCCATGAAGTGCATGACCGCGTCGTAGTCGCTCATGTAGGCGATACGCAGATGGTAGTTCGGCGCCTGTAATATACCGCGTGGTGTGTTTATTTCGACTCTTGCGCATGATGTCATATACGACGTGTTTGCATGTGCGTCTTTTGCACAGTGAGCTTTTTGTTATTGATAAAGCACATCTGAACGGAAATAGCGTTGAACGATATTTCATGTAGCAAAAAAACCCCGGAATAGCTGTCAAATTTTTCGAATTTTAGGTTAGATAGAAATTAAAAATATCAGTCTTGAGACTTACCGGGGACACTTTACATGTCACTCCGCGGCCGATGATTCTCTTGACAGGATTAACAATGTGTTTGTTACCGAGGAGAGACGATTTAGATACTTGCAGCAATTTATTTAAAACTCGAGCCATGATTATTGAGAATTTGACGCGTGTATTACTACTAAAAATTTACCAGTGACTAATGAAAACATTTCAAAACACGACGATCATGATTGCTGGGAGTAAACTGGCGCGCGCGTCGACCGCTAGTGTGCGTGTGTTTAGCTGCGTGAACAGTGAACTAACACGACATTTTGGCATAGGTGAGAAGTGAGCCGTTGGTCGATCAGGTTTTTTCGGTCGATTTTCGTAATTATTCGTAAATTGGCTTTTTCGATTTTGACGAATTAGCAAATATTAGCGTCGCACGCAGATAATATTCGAATTGAAATCATAAATCGCTTTATCGTCGAACTATCGATATAAAGGATGAACTTTAACCGGGATAATGAAGCTTTTCCTTTTTATTATTTTCAACCCATCCTTTTTCCCTAGCTCAGAAATTATCGCGTTTTCTTCCTCCTCTCGCCTTTTTTCATTTTACAATATCAGCTGCAGAGCTCACAACGTCGCGCTAAGATTATTATTAACGTTCATTAATCAAGTGGCGTATGGTCGTGTAACACGACGGTAGTAGAGTTCGCGCGTCTATACTCTATATACGAGCTGCACAGCCTCTATAACGCAAGAACAATATAAGCCGCCGAGCGCTGCAACTGCTGCTGCCGCTGCTGTCTGCATGGCATGGCGAGCTGCGACGGCGAGTGTCATTAACGCGCCATGCGTAACTATGGATCGCCATTAAATCTCTATTTTGACGCTTATATATCCCTTCCATGCTGCGCATATAGAGCCTATGCAGCTAACAGTGTGATGCGCGCTCGCCTTGATGTCCTAACACTAATTTCCCCCGTCGTGATTAATGGATTTTCCGAGGCTATAGCAACGTCTATTTCAAATTGTAACGCAGCGGTAACGTCGCGTCGCGTCTCTCTATATTTGCGCTTATATGCTTGCGCCAGCTATTGACGCCTGCAGTTCTCTCCATATAGGTGTGTAGTGCGAGGTTAAAAAAAAATATAATGATAATAAACATCGAAAGTCGATCGGTACTGTGGAGGAAAAAGAGAGAGTGATCAGAGAACAAAAAGGAGTTATGCATTCGATGCCTTTTATTATATAGAAAAATAGACGTACAAAATTTTTGCTTCGTATAAAAAATATGTATGTATGTAAAATGGTGAAGAATTTTCTACGATGTAGTATCGCCTTTCGCGCACGCACATTATACATCAGTCTTTATATTTGGAAACGCGAGCGATTAATAATGAGCGAAACTTGAGTTGAAAAAAAAAGAAAAAAATAAGTAAAACAAGCCTCATTGTCGGATGTTGTTGAATCTTAAGGTGCAAGAAAGAGTCGATCGTGCCTCTTAGAATGCATAAGACGCGACGAGCTGCTGTTGTAGCTGCTGCTGCTGGTTACGGTATTGTTTTTTACTCTGCTGCTTGCCAAGCGAGCCCGTCAACGCTTTGACGACTTTCCCGTAATCCTGCCGTTCCGCTTCCGCTTCCGACTCATTGTTGCCTCTCTCCAGATCCTCGATGTCCAATCGAGCCCGCTCCTCGTCCGTCAGGCCGTCGTCCAGGTGCATGATGTCGAAATCGGCCTCGGGCGCGGCGATGCCGTGATCGTCGTCGCCGCCGCCGCCGCTTCGCTCCTGCGCAGGCTGTGCGGGCGTTATTATTACGGCCGAGCCGTCGGAAGCTGCGTATTTGCGCTCCAGAGGCTGGGCTCGCAGAGTCAGGATACAGCACGCGCTCGCGATTAGACACGTTCTCCACAATCTGTTGCTCGTCATTTCGATTCTATGTTTGCTCTCGCGTGTTATTTGCCTGCAATCGTACTGGTTAATTAGCTTTCGACCACGAGAGAGTAGATTATATTATGCATATAGAGATATAGCTTACCTGATATCAAATGAAAGTAGTAGAAAAAAAAATTGTAAACGCCGCGGCCGCTTGCTATGTATACGTGTTGAAGTAGTGACTGTAGGTATTCGACTGAATTCGTCGTTGGCGAAATTCGTTGCTTTTATATTGCAAGCGAAGCGAGAGCGAGAGTCAGTTTTATTTTCTAGCATACAGGTATAGAGAGAAAAAACACACACACACACAGCCTGCGAGCGTTTGGCAATATTCTCTCTAGTCGGGCTCTGCGAGTCTAGAGCCAATGTGCCGAGTGTTTATGCGCTGCATATAATGGCCCCCACAACGAGCGACGCGACTCGTGCAGCGCACACGTATTACACCTGACCTGTAGCTGCAGTGCCTTGTTTCTAAATACTTATATATATATTTGCTCTTTACAAATGCACATGCACGCATACACACGTAGACGCAAACGCTGTTTAAGCACCCAAATGTACTTATGCCTGCTGCTCGTTGGCATTATATATTTTACCTCCCGTATGCGTGTACGTATATCGCCGCAACACGGTGGCAATTCGCGCCAGCCAGCCGCGCTGCACTACATTTTAAAAGCCTAAGTGCACATGCAGTCTGGTCGTGGTTGTTGTTCGTTTTCCACGTATATTTCTACGCACGCGTATATTATGATAATGCAATTATTTATAAGCGCGTACAGTAGTACGACTTTGTCTATGTAATACTTATGAGCTATACGTACCGATGTTGTTGCTGCTGCCATCCACTATGTATGTATAGTTGGTACGAGACTCTTGTTGCGCGTACCGCACGTGGAGCTGAGTACGGTCTAAAAAAACTCGAGTCCTGCCTCGCGCGGTAGCTGACATTCCACCATGCTGCAGTACAGTGTGGGAGCTATGAGGCACAGAGCGAGAGAAAAAAACGCATATAACATTCCTTCTTATACGCTCTCATTTCATCAGCTGGGCGCCCGCGTCTATGTAGTTGTACCCACTTTACGTGCTATCTATTACACGTATTATGAACGGCTTCGGAGATATGTATAACTATGGATGTATTGTTCTTGAATATTCCCCCGCGAGAGCAATCGATGCAACAATATGTACGTTTTACCTAGTTATTTTTTTACCCTCTCGCTACTGTAGGTATCCGCGCGTTTTAAGTGCCCCCGAACCATACACGAATGAGCGAGCTAATTTTTTTTTTTTTAACGACTCTTCGATTTTGAAATTGGCCTGCTCGTTATGTTTTCGTTGTTTTTTTATCTGTTCTTGTTTTCAACGATTTCGTGTTAAGCTCACGTGTTTTTTATCTAGACCTCTCGCATCCTTGGCCACGCCGGATGAAAATTGGATTGCACACACATACGCACGCGTGTGCGTATATACACGTATCGTACACTGTCACCGAATTATTCGATCATTTCAAGCTGCATACAGCACATATACGGGTGCCCATCGATGCGTGTAAATTCTTAGCAAGGGCGACGAGAGGAACGCGCAGATTAACGAGCATGGCGGCACAGCACGTATTATTATACACGCATCGAACCAATAAAGCCGATCGCGTCGCGTCCAAATCTAGGTGAACGAACGTAATCGCGTGCCGCATAAGCTGTACAATAGTTTAACGTATACGTTTACGTAGTCAATGGTAAGGTTCGTGCGAGCGTGCGATTCGACTCGCCTCGCTGTATATAATATAGAAGGTGGAATCGGTGCGCGATGAATACAAAGAAAAAAGCTACGTACAGCGATCGATATAGCTTCATAAATAAGCGATCGGTTCACCTTAAACTATTAACGATCGAATGCGCTTGCGAAAGGTATGCCGTGCCACTGCTACCGCTGTGCTCCCTTTTCGTTCGGGTTCATTCATGCGCGCGTGCGGCATTCATGGGAATAAAATGTGAATCATAACTAAACGTGCATAGAGACACACACACACGCGTACGCGTGCTGTAGCAAGTGTCAATGACATTTATAACGCGACCGCGACGACGACGATCTTGAATCGCATCTACGGTCCGTGACTGGTGTAAAGTACGCAGAGCCGTGAAGTACGTTCGACATTCGCTGCACAAAAGGGTCCTTGGCAGACTTACACTCTGTAGGGTACACACCGGGGCACACGCAGAGTGAGAGAGAAGAAGTGTGCGAGGTATATAAAACCCGGGACTGACCGGTAAATCAGCACAGTTCCACTTGACGATCGATCGAGCGACCATTAATTAAGACTCTTAACGAGTGTGCGAGTAGTAGTGCGAGTTCCGAAGTGTATTCAACAGTCGACCAAGACTTGACTTGTGTGCATCGATATTAGATAAAATATAATCGACATGAGGTGGCTGCAGTCGATCGCGCTCATATCGGCACTCGTGCTGGCTCTGGCTTCGGCCAGTCCAACCCCGATCAAGGCCAACGCCAAACCGCATCATCATCAGGAACGCATGTCCATGCGCAAGATGCACAAGTCCGACCAGCAGGGCTCGGGCACGTCGTACTCGTACGATCAGCGCCACGACGCCGCACCCGTCTCCTACGTACACTACACCACCCACACGACCAACGATCACCTGCCCTACGATCCGGCCTATCATCAGAATTTCGTCAACTCGCATCCACCACCACCACCACCACCACCATCCCCACAGCAATACGGAGCTTACGGTGACTACGAGGACTATCCTGAACAGCGGCAGCATTACCGGGAGCAACCCCTAGCTCCGTACTACGAGCCGGTGCCGCATCTGCAGCCACCCGCGCATCACCAGCACTCCGTTTATCAGCAGTATCATCGCGAGGAGCCGCACTACGCACTCCCGCTGCCACCTCCAGTTGTGGAGTATGCACCAGTAGTACCAGCCCATCACCACGAACCCGTTCACGTTGTGCCCCATCGTCCCCATCATTATCATCCCCATCCTCATCACGACGACGATGGCGACGACGACGATCATCATCACGAACCCCATCATCATCATCGTCATCATCATCATCACGGAGACCACGGCGAGGAGGAGCACGAAGCTGAGCACGAGGAGGAGCAACACGAGGAGAGCGGCGAGAAGGGAGAGAAGGGCTACTCCGGCAAACACGACTACGAGGAAGCCAAGCACGACGATCACGACATCAAGCACGACAAAGGTACGTACAATGTTGCCATTTTCCGCTTGATAATTTTAATTATTGAAAACATTTTCGCAAAACTGAACTATAATGAGATTACCGGTAGATCTAATATTTAGCTACTCGTCACAGAGTATTAGTTAATGAGTAAATTTAAACTAAAACATCCCTCTTAGTTCGAGGATAGAAGCGCAGGATTTGCTTGTAAATTAGAGCACGCTTCCTGAATCGAAGATTCAAATGGAAAACTTTAAAATTTTTCAATTATAATTAGAGTACATATTCAATAATTCGTTTCGTAAATGTGACTTATAGCCTAAATATAACATAGATACTACTAGGTTATTAAGATGCTAAAGACAACGATCACGATAAGGTATAAACAAGAAATGGCTGTCATTTCAAGCTAAAAATTTGCCTTTCCTCTTTTGCTTTCCGATAACTCGGCCATTAGCCATCGAGCGGTAACTTATGTACTACTACGTTGCTAAAAAAAATTATTGTTCAAAAACAATCATTGATTTTTAATAGTAATTTTTGCAATTTTAAAGTTAATACTATGTAAAAGGTGATTATGCCTACCCGAATACATCGGTATAGGAGTATTCATTAGTACTTGAAATTTACTAATCATTTTTACAGTCAAGACTGTAAAAAAAAAACTCAAGTTTAGTATGCAGATTCAATGTAAAATTAGACATCACAGCTGAGATAATTGATTGCTGAAATGTTTCAAGGTTATTTTACATGAAATCTTTGTTGAAGTGTATTTGTGCTTTTTTACACAAACTGCACAAAAAATGCATGAAAATCATAATTGAAGCCAGCATCCACCGTTAGATGGCGAGTACCTCAATCCAGTAGATCTGCAAGTGGCAAAGAAAAAATGACTATATAAATAATAAGCGATTAATAACCGAATCAAAATAGTATTAAAAATTAAAAAAATGTATACATATTGTTCTCAGGCGAGTACGAGGAGGAAGCCGGCCACGAGAACGGCCACGAGGAGTCGGACGGACACTACGACGCCGAGAAAGAGGCCGTTTCGGAGCAGCAGGGCGGCGCCTACGGCCAAGAGTCCTACCACAAGAAAGGCTCCAAGACGACGGGCTTCCACAACGTCTATCGCAAGGACGAGTACAAGAAGAACACGGACTTTTACGACGAGGACCACAAGGGCGGCCAGCACGAAAAGTACGGCTCTCAGGACGCGCGCCATCAGCAGGAGGCAGGGGGCTACCAGAAGGGCGCCAGTCACGACGAGGCCTACGACGACGCGGAGCACGCGAAAAAGGGCCACTACGACAAGGGCCACGAGAGGGGCGAGAAGAGCGGACACAAGGGCGCCCAAGGCCACGACAGCTATCATCGGCAGCACGCGGATTACGCGCAGGACGCCGGCTCGAGACACTCGAGTCAGCGGGGATACAGCAGACACGACCATAGATAAATGAATCGAGATCGATGCACGTTTTTCAATTGTACTGTAAATATTACATAAGTGGGAAAAAAGAAAAAATAAACACTGACAAAATCTTTTGTATACCTGTCGACAAAGTAACAACGCGAGTGATCTCTCATGGTTTCTCATTTCTCTTCCTGTGACCCCGCAACGAGCTACGCTACACGTCTCAAAGTATAACTAAGCTTATATATCGTACATGTGTGTGTGTGTATCGCATGACGATCATGACGATGATAACGAAGACTCTGCCACCTGTTGATACTCATATAGTAACGCCACTTTTACGCTCACGCGTGTGCAGGGGCTGCTGCTGTTTGTTTGTGTGCGCGCGCGATAATAACGAAGGGAGAAGATACGAGAGAGCGAAGCTTCATGCAGGCTATAATATCCTAAGGGGTAAAAGTTAAAACGAGACACGCGCGTGAGTTTACTCGCTCGCTTCTCGAGTGTACACGAGGTGTGTTTTGTTTCATCGTGACGTGTACGCGAGAAAATCATGATAGTGACACTTGTGTTGACGAAATTTATAAGAGGCAGATAAAAAAAAAAAAAGACCTCGATGCCCGCTCGTCGATGACAAGTAGGCAAATTTGTCAATAGACCATACGTGCGCGCGAGATCGGAGTCGTTTTATACGCACACAGGAACTCGCATTATAGATACCGAAAATTAGCATGTCCGCTGCTGCTGTTGTCGTTTGACGCAACGTCCCTCGAAGTAGGTTTACATATAAAAACGAACGAGCCGCGAGCGACAGAGCTCATTGTCAATCAGGTGTGCAGCGACCAGTGTGTATAAGTGATAGTGTGCACGTTTAGATAGCGAACAAAAGATTTTTTTCGATCGATATATATATATATTTCGAGAGCGCGTAAATCTAATTTTTCTTCGACAACCTCGAGGGCGCCCGTAATAATAATAGAAAAATAAAATGAAAGCAAAGCCGCCGATGCAGGTGGTGTGCCTGCTTTTTTTGCTATTAGCTCGGGATTGCACGTCGAGGGAAATATCGTCCGGGAATGAGAAAGCAGCTGAAAATAAGCAGCCACAGCAGCAGCCGAAGCAGGAAAATAAAAAGGAGAGCAAAAAAGATACGAAGATAGCTGCGGAGAGCTACGTCTTTACGACGAAAACGAGCGATAACGATCGGTCGTCGGACGTCGACGTTGCTGCAGCGCCGGACGAGCATTTCGGGCCGGCTTCTCGTTTTCATCGTTTCGCTGGCGCCAGCGGCAGCCACCTTTATTTTCCCAGCTTCAATTATCCGACCAAGTACAAGCTTGACACCTTTTCATCAGGTTGTAGTTTTCTATAGGCGCATTTATCAGCTACTATCCCCTCGTCGTATTATTGTGTTCTGCACCCCCGCCGATCGAGCGTATACGCGTCGAGTCCCGGAAGCAATGAAAAATTAATTTTATTCTTTCTTTGTAATTAGTTCTCGGGGATAAAAATGACTTCGATTTTTCCGACGACTTCAAGCCACCGGACTCGGGGGAATTCGATACCGGGGATGATTTATCGAGTCATCGTGATGGAACTCACGAACATAATCATCATCATCACCACCATCATCACCACGACGAGCACGAACACGGCGAGCACGGGGAGCACGGGGAGGAGGGCGAGAAATCGAGCGAAGGGCACGAAAGCAAGTCGGAGCACGAAAATTCCAAGGGATACAAGGTACAATTAATTCGAGGATCAGAGAGAGCAATTTTTTAATGAAAAAAATCGAGCGTAGGTAGAGGAAAAATTCGATAAAGCCAATAAAGAAGAAAAGGAGAAGAAAGAGAAGAGCGGCGAGTTCGAGGCTGAAAAGGGTGAGAACAAGTCGCATTTGGACGAGGCCAAGACGTTCGTCGCTGAGAAGGAGGAAGCCAAGGCGGCCAAGGGCGAACACCACGAGAGCTCCGAGGGCCACAAAAAAGGCTCCAAGACGACGGGCTACCACAACGTCTACCACAAAGACGAGTACAAGAAGGACACGGAGTTCTACGACGACGAGCACGAGGAGCACAAGGAGCACAAGTACGCGCACGAGGACGAGCAGCAGCAGCACGCCGAGGCCGAGCACAAGCGCCTGGAGCACCTGGACGAGGCGCACGAGCATAGCGAGGCCGCGAGGAAGGGCCACTTCACCAACGGTCACCAGTACGGGGGCGCCGAGGGACACGCCAAGGAGGAGGGCGCGAGCGAGCACAGCAGCAAAGAGCAGGAGAGCGCCAAGAAGCACTCCGAGAGCAGTAGCAGCAGCAGCGTCTCGCACAGTAGTTGAGCCAATGCGCAGCGGTTGTTTGTTTGATTGTTTGTTAGGTTTTTTGTACTTTTTTATCCCGTCGATTTTGTCCTCGTGAAATGTTAAGGAAAAATAAATCACTTTTTTGTCGAGGAACGAACTTTTTTCTTCTAATTTACCACTCTGCTCCGTCCGTACGTATCTGTGGACTATTTTTACCGATCAATGTGTCGATTCTATGGAGCAACAATTTACTTAGATAATAATGATGAAATCATTAAATCATTAAATGAAAAAGCCTGGAGATTGGAAAAGTGATTTAAAAAAGTAAATTAATATTTTGCATTAATTTTTTATTCATTTGTCGTACAAATACGTATATACTGGTTTCATTCATCTGAATAAACTAATCCAGAAACTACATAACGAATTTCCAATGCGAGTTCGATAGAGTGCTTTTATTTCAAACGTTTTGAAGAGGAAAATTTATAGTGATATTTAGATTTTTTAAACATTTTGTAGCGGTGAACTCATAAAAGAATAGATAGCATGACTGTTATGTATGATATAACATCTTGTACGATCTGAAAGAAAAAGATTTTGAAATTAACTACAATATAAAATTCAGTATACTTTCATACTAGGCTGAAATTTTCAAAATTCAGTTGCAGTCGTGTGAATGGGCCACATTTCACGCCAGTAAATTTTCTTGATCTAGCCAACATTAAAACTACATGAATTCTTGCTTTAACTGGAAAACCATACCACCCACAGTTATAACTGTAAAAAAGTATGTATTAATTTTAGTACATTTTATAAACAATTTTTTATTTCTGTTTTAATAAAAACCAATTACCAGTTATAATAAACTCTTTCATTGGAATCTATGATTATTTGACCAACTAAATTGATCATAAATGAGGCTGTAATCACGATGAGAAATATTGTGGCCATTTGTAGACATGCTATGAAATTAGTTTTCCACAATACAACGATCTAAAAATCAAAAACTTTTGAATGAACTTCTGGAAAATACACAAATGATATATTTTACCAACAATCCAGAAAAACTGAGGGCTCCAAAAATCACAACTGATGCCATAAATAAAATTTATGCAATAGTATGACGAAAAATGTCTTTTTTCGCACATTTTTTAGTGCGCAAAAAGCGTTTTTGGACACTTGTGTGCGGTAAAATGCCTCATTTTGGACACGGGTGTGCGGTAAAAAGCCTTATTTAAATGAAAGTATTTTTCGTCTCCTATTGCATAAAATTTTGTATGCAACACGTGCCCAGCTTTTTGCGCACAGTGTGCGGAAAAAACACCCACTCGTGCCGGCATAGCCGGCACTCGTGTCTTTTTCCGCACACTCGTGCCCAAAAACGCCTTTTGGGCACTTGTTACATAAATAACTATTTTTCTCCTGACTTATTTAACATTTGAAGATGTCTGTAATTAAATTATTATGAAATTCAACTGTGTTTTTAAGGGGAGGCTCTCATGAGACTCGATCAAAAAATCGATTTTTTTTTTTTTGCTTACTTAGATAGCAAATGTCCCGTAGAATACACCCCCGAAACCCTTTTTATCAAAATCGATTTAGTCAAAAAGTTATAGGCAAAAAACCGAAGCTGTCTTTTTACGAGGGAACGATGTATGTATGTATGTACATTCACTTTCTAAAACTTTAAACGCGTTTTTCTCGAAACTATGTTTTCTGAATCGGGCGGCAAGATATTTCGAAAAGTACTGCACTTAGAGATACGCTTTTTTTTTATTTTAAAGCTAATTAAATTGTCTGGAGGTTGAACCTATAAAATTTTAAATTTTTTCATTATTATTACTTTTTACAGCCCTTAAAAGAGCCTAAAAAGGGGAAAAAAAAAGAAATTTTTTTTCCGAAGTCCGCCATTTTATCAATTTTTAATTTTTTTGCAATTATTTAGGTTCAACCTCCAGCAAATGTCATCTAGTTTAAGAGGAACTTCGCATTTTTAGTTTCAGGCAAAAACTGAAGGCGCTAGCTTGCCGCCCGTTGAGGTACCTTTTTTTAACACGACCTCTATATTTACGAAAATTTGTAAATATAGTTAAATACATACTTTATAAGTACCAAAAAAAATTCAACTGCATTATTCACTTCCTTCCACGAAAAAAAAATCACGAAAAACATGTCATTTTTGAAGCGCTAGATGAGAGCCTTCCCTTAAGCTTCTTTAAATTCTGAAGTTTAAAAAAACCTGAGGGATTCAACATAATCAGAATGCAGCTTAATAATTTGTTTTTCAATAAAACTATCGACTTCTTCATTTCGATCAAAATATTTATCTTGAATTTTCATATTCAAATTGTTCAATTGATATCTGAAATTGATGATAAAAATTGACTGTACTTGATATTTTTGAACGAAGGGTTGGGGTGGAGTAATAAACTCACGCTATTAAATAAAATTGAGTTTTGCAAGCAGAAATCGTGCACAAAGTACTTGATATTAATGTCGTTATGAATAATCCAGCACACATAAATATTAATAAATCACAAAATAAAGGTACATAAAAATTCTCCCCATGGTTAATTAAATAAATTGCTGTTGTTACATGAAACTTGCTGATATTATACTCTCCTGGCATTAGAATATTAACAGCAGATGGTAATGATATTGGCAAGGACGCGTAGATGAGGCACAAAGCAATAATAAAAACAGTAAAATTTTTTGACACCCTGTAAAGAATATCGTTTTCTTGGTCGAATATTTTTTTCTCGTGCTTGTCAGTAATTTTTAAGTAATAAACAGTTGTATCTTCCCTGAGTCGTTGAATCTAAAAATTTATATGAGTAAGACGTATCCTGACTTCATCTCGAATAAAAAGTAAATTATTTTTTAATTCAATTAATACGTCATGTTCAGATGTAAAGTACAGAATATACAAGGTTGTATTGGCGATGGTCCATACTAGCTCACACCCACATTTAATTTTGTCCTCGATTGACATCGTTCCTTTGTTCATTCTGGTATAGATCCCACACAACTTATTTTTTTTTTTTAAATTGATAATTGATTTTATTCACTTAAAAATCAAATTAATGTTGATATATTTCTTACCACACATATGCCAAAATACGTTGCATAACCAACATAAAATGTTCTAATTAGAATTTTCACAATTTTGTTTTGATAAGGCCACGCGCCGCTCAACTGAAGGGCACACCTAGTCCAGTAATGACGTTCTCTTGTGATTTCATCTGTAATTTTTACTAACATATTGAATTAGTTCGAAATTATCTTTTGCACTCAAATATCGAGTGCGACTGACAAGTACTTTTCATTGGGTATCAACACGGGCTCCTCGATTGTTGGAGTTCATATTTTTATGTATGATGTAAAAGAAAGAACATTTTGAACAACAAAAACTGCTATACCCCATTTTTTTGTGTATTTGAAAATTTAATTAAATGTACAACGAGTGCACACGTCTTGATTTTGAACGTAACGTCCAGGCAAGTAGGGTCATGAATAAGGTTCTTGCGCGAGTTAAATTATCTATTGATAATATAATATTTCCAAGGTAGGAATTGATAGGATGACTTTATAACTTTATTTATGAAGTTAATTAATAAGTACTTTTATTTAACGTCTTTACTTGACGAGATCTAAGATAGAACTGATTGTCTGTCGGAGACAACTTACATACGATGTACAAGTTGGCGACGATCAATACATTTTATATTCCTTTACCATTGTTAATAATGTTTATAACATGTATACTAAGAATCCCCGTTATAACTTACAATAGTCATAAATCAATATATCGATTATAAATAATAAAAGAATGATATGAGTATAAATGATATAAGATTAATATTAATATAATATACAGGGTGCGGCAAAAGTATGGAGACACCTGAAAATTTCGCATAATAAGCTTAGAAAAAAAAATCAAAAACCTCATAACCAACGTATTTTTCGACGAGGAATCCAATGGTGATCTTGAATTTGACCTTGAACATAACCTTCAAGCTCCAGAGACCCAAAAATCGATTTTTAAAATGGAACCCCTATTTTTTATTTCAGATTTAAAAAGAGCGGAAAATTTTACGTATAAATATGTACTTTTTTTTCAAGGTCATTTTAAGGGCGTTACAGACGCAAATGAAACCCCGATTTAACCTAAAATTAAGTTCGAGTAAGGGTTTTTTTTTAACTGAACCGCCTCCAAAATGACCTTGAAAAAAAAATAAAATACATATTTTCATGTAAAATTTTCCGCTCTTTTCAATGGTGACCTTCAATTTGACCTTGAACATAACCTATACGCTACGGTGAACGAAAAATCGATTATTCGCACGGTAACCCCCATTTTTTATGACAGATTTGAAAAGAGCGAAAAATTTCACGTTCAACTATGTATTTTGTTTTTTTTTTTAAGGTCATTTAGGAGGCGGTACAATGAGAAAAAAACCTTTACTTGAACTTAATTTTAGATTAAATTGGGGTTTTATTTGCGTCTATAACGCGCTTAAAATGATCTTGAAAAAAAAAAAAACAAAAAATACATGTTTCAACGTAAAATTTTGTGCTCTTTTCAAATCTGCAATAAAAAAGAGGGGTTCCATTTGAAAAATCGATTTTTGGGTCGCTGGAGCTTGAAGGTTATGTCCAAGGTCAAATTCAAGGTCACCATAGGATTTCTCGTCGAAAAATACGTCGGGTATGAGGTTTTTGAATTTTTTTCTACGCTTATTATGCGAAATTTTCAGGTGTCTCCATACTTTTGCCGCACCCTGTTTATTGTAAAGAATAGTTACTATGATATAACTCGCGCGCGACTGTTAACTTTGCTAAATTGCATGAGATTATCATTTCACTATTCACAATGTATTCTTAAATAATTACTATGAATGAGAACAATCATATACTTAATTATTGAATTATTCTAATTACAAACTTCTTAGCTACTGTACTATCATAGCTAAATAATTAATCAATGGCACATTAAAATTTAAAGTTTCAAAAAGAAAAAAAAAGAACTGTGAATT